CAGTCCAGGTTTTAACATTGCGCTCGACCTTTTAACCAAATGAGCTATCCAGCTATAATGTACGTTGAATGTTTGCTTATTTTTATTGCCTATTATTTTTAACATAATAAATTTTAGCACAATATATTAAATATAATAAACTATACACAAGTAGCTGATTTTAAAGCTAAATAGACGGAAAGGTTTCATGTCACGTAAGTATTTTGGTTCATGTCAAGTATTTTGGTTAATGTCAATAGATCAAATCAAAAAATTTTACAAATAATTTTATTTGCATTTTAATATGAATTTCAATAAAGTTCGATGTTTGTATTCAGATAACAAACAGATAAAGAACAATAACAGATAACAACCGATAATTAAACGATCTAGTCTTTTTGGCAAGTATTTTTTAACATATCTTACAAAGAACAGAAATGTTTTTCAAGAAGAAATAGTTCAAAATTAAAATGAAATAAAAAAGAATAAAGGTTTAGACAAATTGAAGGTAATCTTGACTGATAAAACTTTTACCCCTTTATATGCTCTCTTACAACTTGAAAAACTCCCCTAAATACATGGTTCCGTTTTTTTATTGGCCTACATATAAATACATGGTTTTTATCCGTCTTTTTTGTAAATTGATTAACCTATTGCTGAGGAAGCTATGTATAAAAATTTGTTTTCATATTATGTCTAAATGTTGTTGTCTAAATATGTAACTCACAACTTGTTGTCTAAATATCAACACACAAATCCATGGTGCTTTCACTTTTCATTCAATCTCAGAGTCTTTGACTCTTACAATTAAAATGCATTCCATAACTTCTTATACAAACTTTTTTTTGCATGCACGTAGATTTTTATTTTTAATTGAATTTGATTCGTACTTCCTCCCAGGCCACTGCAAACACCGTTTTACAATGACCAACATAAACAAAAGGACCTAATTGTTTCAACCATAGGTCCATTATCTACTATTAGAACTATTATTATAGGATCATTATCTAATATTACCTTACCAATGTTAAACTAAAGCACAAGACCATTGCTTGTAGTACTTTAATCGTATACTAAACTAAATCAATCTTCTTACAGAGACATATAACCAAAAGCTCAATTAAAAAAGATAAAGTAAAATAGTAACTATCAATACACTTGAAATATAATAAAGCAAAGAAAGTATAGAGGCAAACCACATACTAGTTATATATTAAGATTTGATTTATCATCATTCGGTAAAGGGGTATTCATAGCCATTATGACGCAATTTGCTGTAATCACTAACATTATAAAAAACTCGAACATTTTAGAAGTGCAAATTAAAACACATGCTTTGCGAAACTGATTCTTAGGCTTTAAAATGAATAAATGGGTATGAGGATGCAAACTTTTGATATCGGCTGATTGCACTTCTGTAAAATTTGAAAGTCTTGGATTCATTACTGTTTATTAGTTGATTTTTATCTAATTATGTTTTGTTATGTTGTTAACACTCAAGCAACTCAATTCAATTAGTCTAATTTAGTCTCGCGATTTTTAAAACCGTTTATAAAACCATTTTATTAAATTATAAAGGCACCCTGTAAATGGCGACAAGAGCACAAAAATATCGATCAATTTATTTGTGCTATAGTCGTAATTATAGCCGACCTTTTTGTACTCTTGTCGCCGTTAGCAGCATGCGTTCATAAATTCTTAAAACAGGTTTATAATTTGAGTTTTTTATAAATTTTTTATGAAATTTTATTAATCTAAACTATTTATGATTAATTTAACCATTAATTATAATTCATAAGTTGCATCCAAGATGGTAGACTCATTGTAATCTACGTATATTAGTGATTCTAATTTTTCTGGTGACAAAGTTAAAAAAAAAATGAACTTAGTAAAATATTAAAAAACTTGTAGCGATCTCAATTAATTCGACTATTTTGAAAAAATTACATTATAAACAAATATACTATTTTTTTTTGCGTAATATTATAATAATAATAGTAATAATAATAATAATAGCAATAATAATAATAATAATAATAATAGCAATAATAATAATAGCAATAATAACAATAATAATAATAATAAGTTAAATTTTCTAAAAGAACTTGCATTCTTCGCATGACAAATGCAGTTTACGTTATATTTACTTCAATTTAACAAGATGCTTTTATAAACGGTGTTAAGTTACTTAAAAGTTATAATAAATTAAAATTGTAAGAATGGCTCCAGAAGCAGTTCTTTTGGTTTTTTCAGCGGATCTTGGTAAATATTTAATCTTTTTCGAATCTTCACGTTTTTTTAATTTTTAAAACATTAACATTTATGTAACTTTTTTGAAAATAAAATTATTTTTAATTTTTTTTATTGGAAAATGTATTTCATAATTTGTAATAAAGAAGAAAAAAAGAAAAGATTTTTTTTTTTTTTTTTGTCGACGTGACGTCCGTCGACAAAAAAAAAGAAAAAAATGTCAAGAAATCATCATCACTGTTTTTTCCCGCTGTTTCTGGCAACGGTTCCAATAAAACAAAACGGTGGATTCAAAAGAGAAGAAGTAGGTTCTGTAGAAGAAAACGGCGACACTTATTCTTTTCTTTTTTTTTAAAAAAAAATAAATAAATCATCTAAAAAATAATATGTTTTTACGTTTCATGCAAAAACACTTTTCAAAAAATATCAAAATGTTTTCTTTATAAGCTTGTTTTTTAGTTTGTTGTAAACTGGAAAAGGCCTGTTTTGGAAAATAGAAAAAAATTTTTGTTGTGATTTTTGGAAATTTCAGAAGCTCAAATGGTGGTTACACAGAAGCTCAGATGGTTGTTACACAGAAGCTCAAATGGTGGTTACTCAGAACTCAATAATATATTCATAATTATTATTTGGAGATGGACAAATCATAAGAAATGTGTTTCAGTTACTAAATAAAATTGTATTTTCAAAATGCATGACAAATTTTTTGATTAACTATAGATTATAGAAATAACTTTTTTAATGCGACGTCATCAATACGTGATAAATATAAACAAATTTATCACGTATTGATAATTTGCGTTCTCTGTAATTTTCAATTTTTTCATAATTTTTGGATTATTCACGCTCTGTTTACTTCAGTGTTAATACATAGGTAATATCATAAACTGTATATATACATATAATAGAGTAACTTGATAAACCTTTTATTTTTGTCCGAGGGGCATACTTAACTTTAAAGATTTTGTTCAAAAACATCTAAAACGGTGTTTGCAGTAGTCTGGGAGGAAGTGCGAATCAAATTCAATTAAAAATAAAAATCTATGTGTATGCAAAAAAAAAAGTTTGCATAAGAAAGTTTTGAATATTATTACTTTTTTTAACGTAACATTTTCGTAAATAATGTTATCATTTAGAAGCAAGATATGCAGGGTTCGAAATGAGCTTACAGTTGTTAAAATCTAACATCTACAGTTGTTAGATTCTTTCTTGAAACTCTCAAGAACACAGCTTCAATTATTATTATATAGCTTTGCCCATGAAAAAAAGTTTTATAGAATTTCTATAAACTTTAGAAACATATGGCCTATAGAAATTCTATAGAATCTCTTAATTTTTATAGAAATTCCTATATTTTTTTATTCTATTTTTTCTAAGAATAGAATAAAAAAATATAAATATAAAAAGTTTTATAGCGTTTCTATAGAAATTAATAGACATTCTACAGAATTTCTATAGGCTATATGTTTCAAAAGTTTATAGAAACTCTATAGAACTTTTTTCCTAGGTGGACGTTGACTTTTTCAAAGTAGATTATTTCTTTTTTATTTTGATGTTAAAAAAAGATGAACATTGACCATTTTTGACTGTTCTAACCGAATCAAATAGTTCTGAACTTTTATTTTTTACAATTTAATACAATTTTTTTTTAAAGAAAAAAGCACTTTTAATTAATAAACTTTGCTTTCCACCGGTTGCTAAGTTGAATTGTTTAGTTTCTGGGACCATTAGGTGATCTTTTCTCTGTGGAAATGATTGGTGACGTAACTTATTTAGATCCGATTGGTAAATTTAAAAGTAATTTTTTTCTAGCTTAGATTTTTTTTTCCAGCTGAGTAATAGGTTTAACTTCAATCAATGATTTTGCCTTAAGCCTTTGAGCTTAACGATGAACATAGGTTTTGTTGTTTCTTGTTTAACTTTCACTGGATGCTTTTTAATAAGCTTTTGTTTTACAATCTTTAAAATAAGGCATTTATAGTTCAGAGTATTTCGAGTATGTCACCCAAGAAAAAAAGTTTTATAGAATCTCTACAATCTTTTGAAACATATGGCCTATAGAAGCTCTATAGAATTCTTGTTAATTTCTATAGAATTCTTGTTAATTTCTATAGAAAATTAAAACTTTTTTTTTTCTACTTTTTTTTCTATAGAAAAAAAAGTTTTATAGAAATTAATTGACATTCTATAGACATTCTATAGAATTTCTATAGGCCGTATGTTTTAAAAGTTTATAAAAATTCTATATAACTTTTTTTCCTGGGCAATCCTTATACAAATTAAATCAAAACTTAGTAGCTTAAAAAAGTTTTGGGACCTTGATTCAATTTTTTAAGCAATTTTAAATAAGTATCACATATACCACTTAGCCTTCTTATTATTTAAACCCGATATATTTTTTAAAAATTTGTGCACTCTTATTAACAAAAGAGTTTGTATATAAAAAGTGAGAGCTTATTAGGTACCTCATTGATAAAAATAAAAAGATCCAATGTAATCAGACTTTTAAAAATCAAAAATATAAATTCAACTAGTTGGTGATAAAAAATAAGTATTTGAAAAAGTAAAACAAAATTCCTTCTATTATAGGAACCTCCATTATCCGTTTCTTAGACAGTAAAAAAATTTTCATCCCCTACTTGTATGAGGCAAAATTTGGGAAAAAATAATATCAATAATATGTTATATTATAAAGAAGAATATAATAAACGTAAAAGTTATGTTCAACGTAGCCAACGTAAATAAAAAAATTAACATAAAAAACTAAGCACTACAAAGATACGAATACTTCGTAAAATTTACATACAAATTAAAATTATTACAATAAAATATGAGTAAATAAGTATATAAATATGTATATTAATAATAGATTAAATATATTACAAAAAAACAACAACATCAATATAATAAATTAAATCCAATAAAAAAAAAAAAATTAAATAAATTAATTTGTTAACAAATAAAGTATAGATTTATGAAACTAGATAAACATCTTGTTATGCATGTAATGAGCTACTTTTAACACAACAACAGAATGTCATTATGGGCCAGATTATATTTCGTTAAAACGTAACTAATTTCTTGCTACCGAGTTTTCATGTATCTTTTAAAACTAATTTGAAAATCAAGAAATTAAATAATTAAAAAAACTGTTTAAAGAAAGTTTGTTTCAAAAATATTGTTTTTTAAAAAAAAGAAACAAAAAATCTATTTGTTTCATTAAGACTATACCTCTTAGAATCTGTTACAATTAACATTAACTGCGGTTAGGTATCGCTTGAAATAGCTTCAGTCTATATAAATAAAGATCACAGATGAAAACTAATTAATAAAGTCTAAAAACCTTTTTTAGTGTAAACACCTTTTCTAATATGAAAAGTTAAATACTTACTGAATGTAAATATTTTGGATATGAAAAAATTGAAAAAAATTTAAATACTTACTGAATGTAAATATTATGGCTGTAAAAAAATTAAAAAAAAAAAGTAAACAGATAAAAACTATCCCAGTCTGTTACTAATCTGATACTACCCTTATCTGATACTATCCTTATCTGATACTATCCTTATCTGATAATAATCATAATCTGATACTAAACATAATCTGATACTATCCTTATCTAGTCTGTTACTAATCATAATATGATACCATCATAATCTGATACTATCATATTCTGATACTATCATAATCTGATACTATCATATTCTGATACTAATCATAATCTGATACTATCATAATCTGATACTATCCTTATCTGATACTAAACATAATCTGATACTATTATAATCTGATACTATCATAATCTGATACTATCCTTATCTGATACTATTATTACAATCATAATCTGATACTATCATAATCTGATACTAATCATAATTTGATACTACCCTTATCTAATACTATCATAATCTGACACTACTCCTAATCTGCTACTATCATATCTGATACTACTCTTATCTGATACTATCATAATCTGATACTATCATAATCTGATACTAATCATAATCTCAAAATTATGATAGTATCAGATAATGATAGTATCAGATTATGATACTGATTAAAATAGTATCATAGTCTGATACTATGATAATCTCAAGATAAAATCAAAGTATTAATGTTTAAGGAAAAAAACTAGATAAAAGTTTTTAGAACATGAGGTACAATTATAGTAAAATAACAAAGCTTTGCTAAATGACAAGTCACACGAGATTATGTTTTGGAAGATGAAAAATGAGGTGATAGCTTGCTTAAGCAGCAACCATAGTATTCTTAGAAGATTCGAAATGAGATACAACCTTATAACAATTAAATGGAAAATAAGGTCCAATAACATTTTTGATCAAGTCTAGATGAGAGAGGTTCTTATTAAAAGCTCCAGATAAGAGAGAACCAGCTCAAAAATGACAGACAAGTAGAAATCTTGAGAGGTAAAAAATGGAATCAGGAGTAAGAAAATTTTAAGCACAATAAAAACGAGCAGCTATTGCAGATGCTAACATTGCAATAGATTGTTTATATAACTTCCATTAAAGGTCAGTATTAAAAGAAAATACAAGTGTTACCATTCATTAATAGAAGAATATTACAACAATTATTAGCAGTAAAAAACTCAGTTTTTGTTTTGGTTAAAAATAATCAGCCACTGCAAGCCCCAAGCTGTCGCAGAAGTGATATCACACTCAGGATTAACTGCCGATTCAAACATAAATTATCATAAATTATTGACTTTTTGTCAAGAATAGAACATATATAGATGTGTCATCAGCAATTAGAACAACTTTAAAGTTTAATAATAGGCTAAAAATAAAAAATGAATACTTATTATTTTTCATCATTATTTTAAAAAGTTGCATGCTTTTATATGCCATGTATGCCAATATAAAAAATTACAAAATTTGGACAAGTGGCAACTCTGTTAGAGTTATAAAATTATTTATAATTAAAAAGAGTTGGAAAAAAACTAATCATTTAAAGCAAAATTCTTCATAAGTGTTTGTTTTTTTGTTATTTTAAATATTTTTTCAAAAAGGAATATTGAATTTTTCAAAAAGGAAACACTGTGTACCGATATTGAATGAAAAATCAGTTAAAAAAGAAAACCTACAATGTATATTGATTTTCTCCTTTGATTGTTTTTTCTCATATTTTTGTAGTTTTCCCAAATAAGTTTAGCAGAATAAACCTTTCCAATAGTCATGTGTGTGGAATCTAAAATAAAAAGAAAATTTTTTCACTTTTAAAACAACAGCTAAGAAAAAAAAAAAAAAGGTTTTCAAATTATCTACAAATATATTAACATAACTTTAAAAAAACAATTTAAAAGAAATAATTCTCACCTTTTGGAGTTCTAGGGATTATAAGATCTGTAGTTCGTTTTGAAATATTTGGAAACTCTCGTTTTAACATTTTACGAAATGCAAGCTCATTGCTTTTCAAATTTGCTATGCAATAAAAATCACAAAAATTAAAAAAAAATATATAGATATTATATTAACAATATTATTAGTTAACCAGGAGTAAGCGATATTAAATTGGGATGATATTGTAATGTATAGACATTAGATCTGATATTATAGAAATATAAAAGCCTAATATAGATTTTGTCTATACTATGCATATTTTGTTTTTAGATTATAAATTTTAGTCTAATTAATCGAAAAACAAGCATAATAAATAATTTTGCTTATAATGTGGTTATATAATTTGGAATTCAATGGTTTTTATTGTTGAACTTAACACTTAAGTAAATTTATCAACCATTATAAAAATTTGTTTCAAAAGTTTTTTCATTTGTTTTTTGTTTTTTTTAACTTTATTATCAAAAGTAAAACTGTTTAAAACAAAGTTATATTATAAAAAAAAATTTAAATAACTTAGAGATAAAAAGATAATAATAATTTTGCTGATAATAAAATACATTATAAAACCTAATATGCAATATATAGCAAAAACTTACTTTTGTACTTTATAGTGTATGCTTTTACTATTAGAAAGCATTTTAGTTCAAAAAACAACATACATGAATATAATTGAATAAAGCAGTCACAGTATAAATCAGGGGTTTAAATCAGGTAAATTGGCACCATGCAAGAATATTAATCACATTTTTTTGGCGACTTTTTAATTTAAAACTAATCAGACATTTTGTTCTTTAAAGTTTCCAAATATTTTCCACCCAAATATTTTGACAGCCTTCCATTTTTGTAAAAAGTATAAACAAGAACTACCATAGGAAGTAAAAGCTCACATTTCATTTTTTAATAGTTGCATAAATCAAATGACTATGTTTAATTTAAATTACTATGCATATATCATTTTATCTGTATTTTCTTTTAAAGCTATATGTTCATACATGGTTTGAAATGCAGATTTATAGTAAATTTAGAATTTAATCAAATTCAACATTGACTTTCTGTTTTGAATTGTTATACATTAAAAATACAAAACAAAAGAGACTCTGTAACTAATGTTGTAGCATGATGGATCTATATCTCAAAAGAGTATTTGAATAGCTTGAACCTATTAGACCTATAAGATTTTTACAATTGAAACTTAATTAATCTATTATCACTAAATTGATGTTTATACATTAATTAAAAGTAACATAATACAAACTACAAACTACAACAATTTAAACATCTAAATTTAACAAACTACAACAATTTAAATCCATTGCACAATGTCTTTGTGTTGAATCCATTGTACCATGTCTTTTATTTTACATTTGAAAAAAAATGTAAACAAGAATTTAAAAAAAATCTAACCATTTTCAGTATACACTTGCAGACCTGTGCGCACTAATGCAAAAAATAGTCCAGTGAAGTCTACTGAGCCATCTTTATATAAAGTCATATTCATTTTCACTAGCCGCTGAAATACACAATTTAAATACAAAATGATTTAAAAAATATTTGGCAAGTTTAAACTTGCTTTGAAATAAATATATTTATATAAGTTTTATATTTATATATTATGTTTTATGTAGTTTGTATTATCATCAAATAAATTATTTATTAATAGTTAAATATATAAATTAACAATCTATAACATTAAAATTTGTTGAGAAATATAAAACAAAATTACAATTTTATATGACAAAAAATTATATTTCACAATAAACCTTGTATGCCAAAATTTTTGGACATTTTCTTCCTAAACCTACTGGTGGAGCCATTTGTCGTAGCAATTCACACACTTCTGTATGCTTTATTCGTCCACTATGAGGATAATGAAAAACATTTATCAAGAGTATAAGTTCCATAAAATTCCCTCTCACCAGTCATTTAAAAAATAAATCATATATTATAAATAACTTATCAAACAAAGTTTCACTGGTCTTTAAAAAAGTGACTAAAAAAGTTCTAATTAAATTACAAAATAATTTATAATTTAATTTAAATTTATTTACATTTACATTTTTAACTTAAACTATTTATACATATTTCAATTCTTCATTAATGTTATAATTAAAAAAAGTTCCAACAAAGATGAAATCAAGCATTATTTAAGTTCTGCGTTACTACGAAGTAGAAAAAAAAACAAAAAAAGCAAGTAAACGACAAAACACAAACTTTTAAAAATAGCTATATATTTTTTAAAAAGCATATAAATTTAAACAAAATATATAAAATCAACACTTAAATAAACTGTTTAAATATTGACATTATATCTAAAAAGTTTAGAACACATCAATAAAATATTACGTGGCTCGAGGATCAAAATCAGACCACACGGTAACTACCTCATCTAAATGATGAGGCCCAAGAATACTTGAATCTTCAGTTAAAAACGAAAAATTATCCATGATAACAGCAATAAATAAATTTAACATCTAGAAAAAAAAAACTCATATACTTTAATGACAGACAGGTGAAGAAAAATAAAATAAAAATTTTTCATTATAAAAACTGCTAAAAAATTTAAAATAAAAATTCATTAAAATAATTTTCAAATATAATTGTTAAACAAATTTCAACCTTTATGAAAATATCACAAATATGCAACCTTTACATATAAGTCTTAGAAATTTTTTTTTACAATTATATGTATATATCTATATATATATATATATATATATATATATATATATATATATATATACTCATATAGTGTCGCTTTAAGAGCATTTTAATGTAAAAAAAGTCTCTTACGACTACAATTTTAATTACTCGTCTCTTAAGCTGTTTTTGATTGTCGTCGAAATGTCAAAGCAATTAATTTATGCGGAAGTACATTAAATTTAATTGTTTTTTAACAAATTTTTAAAAAACCGCAATTATAACGACTAGAAAGTTTTTTTTAATTAGTTGTGTTTTTGTTATTGATTTAATAAAAAACATTTTTAAAACATGCGTAAATGTTGCTACATCGACTATCTTATAGCTTGACTCGCAACGGAGTGCTGCTACATCGACTGACAAATAGCCTGACTCGCAACGGAGTGCTGCTACATCGACTGACAAATAGCCTGACTCGTAATGGAGTGCTGCTACATCGACTGACAAATAGCCTGACTCGCAAGGGAATGCTGCTACATCGACTGACAAATAGCCTGACTCGCAAGGGAGTGCTGCTACAACGACTGACAAATAGCCTGACTCGCAAGAGAGTGCTGCTACATCGACTGAGGGTTTGGTTTGGCCAGGCAGTCTATCAATTAAAAAAAAAAATTTAATTATCAAAACTTTTTCTGGTCTGGTTTATTAACGCGCTCTTTAAAACTACAGTTTATGGGAAATATTTTTTGATGCTACGCAAGAGACATGCAAGACTATATATATATATATATATATATATATATATATATATATATATATATATATATATATATATATATATATATATATATATATATATATATATATATATATATATATATATATATATATATATATATATATATATATATATGTATATCTATATCTATATATACATATATATCTATCTATCTATCTATCTATATATCTATATATATATATCTATATATATATATATATATATATATATATATATATATATATAAATATATATATATATATATAAATATATATATATATATATATATATATATATATATATATATATATATATGTATATATGTATATATATATATATATATATATATATATATATATATATATATATATATATATATATATATTAAATTGTAAAATAGGCCTCTATGTTTTGGCATCCAGCCATGGGCATATATTGATGTTAATATCAGTAATGTATGACCAAGCAATTTTTTTTAATAATGATGAAAAACCATTTTTATAAATATTAGCACAGTGTCCTTCAAATGACAAACAACTTGAGTACACAGATTTGCAAGTAAATGATATAATCTCTCTGAAATACCCCAAAATTGTAAATAACGGGATAGAAATTTTTCATATTTTAAGAATCTTTAAAGGTGACCATCCAGCTTCACAGTTTTAATCTGGACAAAATAAAGGTGGAAATTTTCTATGTCATGGATGTAGTCTTTTTGCTTCAAAAGCTAAAAAGTATTCATATTCATTTCAATGTAAGACAAATTTGAAAAATTATTTCAAACAAACTTATCAAAAGATAACTTTAAACAATTAAAATTATGGAAAAAACAAAAATAAATTATGGAAAAACATAGGAAAACAAAATTTTGAGAGTCGCAAAGACAAGATATCAGATTTGGAAAAAATAACATTTTCCACAAAAAAAACTGACACTTGGATTTGATCCAACAACCAAAGAGGATGTAAAGTTTCATGTAAAATTCATTTAAATTTTGTGCACTTGTCAACTAAATCAGAATGCATGTTTGTGGCTATTGATCAAATTCCTGGAGTTTACAATTATCAGAGTAACATTACAAAATTGATAATCTTGGCAAGTTATAGTGGAGACAATACACTGATGCACTAAGCGCTATTATTGGCAACATAACTAATACAATGAGTAACAGAGTAGCAACAAACCATGTGACAGTCACAAAGTTAAACTTTTCTTGGCAGAAATCATTAAATAAACAAAACTGTCACCCTCACCCTTTGTACACGATGAGTAGCGCATACAAATATTTATATAAAACGTTAGTGACCTCCAAAGGAAAATTTTTTGAAAAAGACTGCATTGCAGCAAACATTGTTTTAAACAGCAAACTTTACTACAAACAAGTATAATCTTAATTCTACTCTTTTACTTAAATAAAATTGTATTAATTATGATTTTTTAACATAAATTAGGTTTTCTAATTAGCATATAAATGCTTTTTATTTCACATGCTCCTTAAAACAACACACATTACATTATTTAAAGGTAATCCAAAGGGTTTTGTACCCTTTTTGGATCACCTTTAAATAACATAATGTGTGTTAATAACATAAGCTGTGTAGTCTGTTCTTTCTGTAGTGCAGAGGACTGTTATTGCACTACAGAAAGAACAGACTACACATTCTTTTTCACACATGCAGTATTTGATTCATCATTATGCCTTATTAAAGATATTTCTGTTTTTTGACTTGGCATTATGCAGAAGTCTGAGAAATAGTTTGTTCCAAGACTTTACGTCTGAAACAGGTGAATTTTATATATGATTGTTTACATTCTTGTACACAATCAGTTCTCAAATTGATAAGGAGACTTGCAATATTAAAGTTTATGGACTAAGTTTTTAAAACTAATAGTAATGAAAATTTCAGGAATAGATGGGGGATTGTAGACTATTAGAGACTAATATTATGGTTTATTATTTAATAACTTTTTTGTTTCAAGTATCTGTGATTTGTGTGCCCTAGCTTTATTTGGAAAGCTACTGACTAGTCCTTGGATGAAAAAGTTTTATGTTGCGCCAGGTCAGGGACTTGACTACATATCTGACATTCAGGTGTTCAAAATGCTCTTATTGAGAGCAGCAAAAATCATATATATATCTACTTAAACAAAAAACTGATTTTTTAAAAATATTATTACAGATCCTGCTTTTGATTCAATAATCAGCTTTTTTCCAGTAAGTGATGAAATGAGTAAAACATTAGCTGATTGTCTAAATGCACTAAATCAGCAAGGCTTCCCAACATCATAAGTGGTAGTGTGGCCATATCATAAAGAAATGGTGTGTGAATTGATTGTAATAGAGTATATCTTATTTTAAACAATAATATGGGTTATTTATTTGCTTTAATAGATTTCATTTACATATAATAGGTAAGTGTCTTGATTAGCAATGTTTTTACAGTTCTTAATGTATATATTATGCTGTTCTCCCCTATTTATAGTTCTTTCATTTATTATTTGTACATATCAGATCTTATTTTAGGTAGTCAGTTAGTTACTGACCACCTGACAACCAGGGTTGACTTGGTTGCAACCTGCTATGGGAAACCAAAGCTCATTTAATATTTTTCCTGAGCCAATTAACTCCTCCTAACATACTGTTTCTGTTTAGAATAGTAGACCTTTGCCTGCATAGATGCTAGATGTTAGTGTTAACTAACTTTAATCAATCAGTAAACCCTGAAATCAGTATTTCTTTTTTCATTATCATTTTTATACATCACCTATATTTTATTTAGGAAACAAACATTGAAAAATTCACTTAGTTCTATTTGGTTCTATTTATGTTCCTATTTTAATGGCACAATGTGTTATACATCAGAAGTTATTCTGATTTATTTTTAAACTAAGACATAAACTTCCTCTTCCATTATTTTTAATGTTTTTCAAGTAACTTTAAAAACATGATATATTTTATCTATCATTGCAAAGTTTTAACTCACAGCATGAAAACTAAAAGATATATGTATATATGATAGCTTCTTTGGATGTTGATATATTAAACTAGTCAAGATTAAATTGGTAAAACTATACTTATAGATTAGATTGTACAGTAATAACAGTTAGATGTTTATTTTCCAACCATTTAGCTTTCCTATTCAAAATGATTGTGCTACAATGATACTTATTCAGGATCTGTTTATTTGCATAGTGTTTATTTTGCGGGCCAAAGGATCAACCTTTTTTATCTTTGAATATGCTTCAGAACTATTTTTATAGCCACTAATATGTCAAAAACATTACTAAGCAAATGTAAAAACATTACTTAGCAAACTGGAAAACAATTCATTCAATTTTAATTATCTATTTACAAAGTATATTTTAAAACAAACTTTTATTTGTCGGGGAAGTCTTTAATTTAAATTGAAGTCAATATATTAAGAATACACTAAAATACTCCCAATAGATATGTCTATATATCTTGCTGCATGTTTCCGCTAATTGTATGTCAAAGCATGAAAAGAAATCTTTTCATTAAAGTATTTTTATCATGACTCAAAGTCAACTTGTGTAATAACAAAGTTGGGGGAAAGTAAGCCCTCCCCCCAAAATTTTTTTTTTGCTATTACTCAAATCACATGATTTTCCAACTTGATCCATAACTCATTGAGAAAAATATATATATAAAGACTTTATTTAACTTTTTACTTTCTTGTGTACTTAAATAGTTACACTTATAGAATACGCCTTTTAATAAATAAGCCTATATTTATAAATTAATGTTTATATTAAACAGTGCATATATATGCGCTGTATATATATTTTTGTCATAGGCGCTCGCAGGATTTTTTGATGTTTCAGATAGGACACTTCCACAGATTTTAAATTTCGTAGAAAAATATTGTAAGTTACAAAAGTTATGAGCATGCAAAATTTACACCTTCCTCATTTTGAGAGGGTTGGAATTTTTGTATTGTCATAACTTTTGTAATTTACAATATTTTTCCACGAAATTTAAAATCTGTCGATAAATATAAATTTAGTTCAAGATAGTAAAGTTAAAAATTTTACTACATCAGTGCCCTCACAATTAGGCAGAGGGGTGTAAACGTTTTAAGGCCTTTTTGTTCCCAGGCCTCTGCCGTCCCAAATTTTTGCAAGACTTCCTCATTTGGCATAGGTATAAACATACTTAAGTTTGGAATTTGCACTATGTGTGGAAGTGTCCTACCTGAAACATCGAAAAATCCTGCGGGCATCTATTATTTTTGTATGTATATTTTTGAAATATACATAATTGTTTATAAACTTTTGTTATAAATTTTTTTATTTGTTAACAAACAATCTTTATTTATTTAAACAAATAACAATTATTTTTTGTTATTTTATTTTATTTATTAAGTTATATTTTTGAAAAAAATAATACTTTAATAAAATAACTTAATGAAATTTCTTTAAAGGTTAAAAAAAGTAATATTTCTCTAAATAATCTTTCTTTTTATTATTTTTTTTATTTTTAGTACTTTTCCTTTCACTTTATTTTGAAATAAAACTTTGAAAATTTTTAAAGCAACACTTATTAAAAAGGTTACAGTTGGCAAGAGTAGTAAGTGTTGAAAATTTTACAAAAAAACCTCGAAAAAGTTAAATCTAATCAGAATTTCTGGATTCTGATAAAAAGTTTTTCAGAAGAAAAACAGTAAACACTACTAACAAAAAAGTTACCAGGCCAAGTTATTGTTTTTCATTTAACAATTTTTTAAACTTTGCAAAGGCTTACAGTTATCTCAGTTTAGTCAGGTATGTTTTTATTTGGTGTGAGAAAAATTCATAATTTAACCACACATGTTGTACACTGATGCACTATATAAATATGCATCTTAAAAATTCATCAATAATTGACTGCTTAGAACAAACAGCCAATCTTAGAAAAGATCTCTCTTTTGTGAAACAAAGCTGTTTACTGCTAACAACTCTCATAATATTATTGATGTTTTAATTTTTGATGAATGGTAACACTCTCAATAAATCATCTACTTTACATCTTTTCAGACTATTATTCACTACTGACCTCTAATGGAAACTGTTCAATCCATTGGTAACATTGACATTTGCTAAAGATGTACTCTTGATAATTTTTGCCATTTTCTTACTTTTTTTCTTCTGTAAATCTCCTTTCCTCCTTTGTATAAAGTACTGGTATTATATTTGAGCTACTTCTTCTAATTTTTTTTCTTCTTTAGACAAGATCCAAAATGCATTGTAAATACAGTTGAACCTGGTCTAGTTGTCAAACCTTAGCCAATGTCTCATTGTTGAAGAATTGCATCTCTTTCTCTTTTTTACAAATGCCTACTTCAATTGTTAATCAAGCTATAATCTTTTATTCCACCAAACTTATAAAACCTAAACAAATTATACACCTAAAAATCTCCTGTATTATGGGTTATTCAGTAAAGACATATCATTTTAACTGTTCCTTCATGTTCAAATAATTTTTGTTTACTTAGGATTTTTACTCAGCTTGTTCTTCACTATTCTTTTTTTGCTTTATGTTTTCCTGATTTATACAATACACAGTTTCTAAGGTCTTCTGTAAACCATTTCCTAGTCCTTAAACTCTCTTCTCTACTTTCTAGTAGTTCCCAACTCTCTTCTTTACTTTCAAGTAGTCCCTAATTTTCTTCTTTAGTTTCAAGTAGTTCCCAACTTTCTTCTTTACTTTCAAGTTGTTACCAATTTTCTTTTTTACTTTCAAGTAGTTCCCAACTCTCTTCCTTACTTTCTAGTAGTTCCAACTCTCTTTTTTACTTTCTGGTAATTCTCTACATAAATACTGGTTGCTTTTAGCCTTGTTGGAAATAACTTTGCTAAAATAATAAAAGCCTGATTTTCTTTACAACATTTCTGAGTTTAATATAAACCTCATAAAGATGTTTGAAGCTACTTTTATATATTATGTGTGTTAAGACAAAGAAAAAATCCATAATCAGTCTGTTTAAATATGAACTGTTGATAGAACATAACTAAAAGTTTCATATCTAACCAAGTACAATTGCTTTCTTTTAAATAAATTTATGTATAACTTTGTATGTCAGGCACTGTTAAATAGGACGAAAAGCTTTTGGTTTAAATCTTGAATTTATGATTTAAATTCAGGTTTCAATAACTGCAAGAGACTAACTAAAGTCCCATTCAAATTTTAAACAAGTAATTCTCAAACGCTCAAACAGGATTTTGAAGAAGCCACAGTAAACTTCTTAGAATTTAGAAATGCAGCAACATTATTTAAATTTTTATGTTTATTAGCATGTTTCCGCTGAAGATGTATGCAAAATTTTAATAGTGAAATTTTATTAAAATTTACTAGATAAATATCATTAGTGAAAAGCTTTTTACCTCACTAACTATTTTTTTATAGTAATACCATGAGAAAAAAATACTCAACAGAGTTTTGGGGTTTTTGTTCAAAGTTTTTCTACTTCTAGATTCTCACCTTCCCCATATTTTAAGTCTTGTAATATACAATTTTTTAAGGATAAGACCAAAATGAAAACCAAGACTTTTTCATAAATCAATATGAATACTAAGACAAAACCAACAAGTCATGTGTTTATGAAGAATAAATCTGCTTAAAACTTCTGATGTGATTACATCATCATTTACTCTAAACACCATGTATTTGGTGAAGTAGTTTTGTTACAATACTAAGAATAATGCAGTAGAAACCCATACAAACACGCATAGTATTAATGTAACTATTTTAGTAATTTTAATATAGAAAAAAAAAACAATAAAAACTCACCAAAAAGGTGCAAAAAAATATAAATGAAATAAAGTAAATGTAAGCAAGAGGGGTCCCACACTGATCAGAAGAACCATCATAAGATTTCATGTTTAAATCACACTTAGCTCCAGTTGAACAAGCTTTCATGATGTTTGGCCAGTTTTCTCCTGTAGCAATTCTAATAAAAAAACATTTATCAAAAATTAAAATTTCAATTATTCATTTATGTGTACCTAAATAACTCTTTTGATATTTAACATTAAATGTCATCAGTGCTATACAGTGCATTCCTTTAAGTGCAATTTTGAAGACTTTTTTTAAAGCTAATGTCTATTTAGCAAGATAATTGTTGAACGATATTTTATAAAAATTTTAAAATTTGATTTAACACAGAACTAACATCAAGTAAATATAAAAAATACCATTGGCTATTATTATATTATACTATTAAAAATTAGATAAAGGCAAAAAAAATAATTGGACACCACTTAAAAAACAATTTTTTAATGACACTTTTTTAAGTGTTTAAAAAAAATAAAAATGCTAATCAAACAGTTGAGCAAACCTAGAAATGTATTTCTTTTCATGGCACCCGATGTTTAAACATATGTCCTACTAATATTACTTAAATTAATACAAATTAAGTTGACTTAGGCTAACTTTATTTGACTTTAGTCAACTTTATTTGACTTAAGTCAACTTAATTTGACTCGAGTCAAATTAAATTGACTTAAACCATACCATGTTTTACGAGAGTGTGTACCAAATTATGTGCTATCAAAATGTCATCAAAACTATTTGATCAAAGAACAGATGAAAATTTGCAGAAATTTAGCTAACTTCACACAAAATACATTACATAATTTGGTTGAGGATTTTCCTGAATGCATTTAATCATAATATAAAGCTAACAGGCGCTTTAGTTGATTACATTAGCAAGGGCAACTGTAATATATCTATTTAATAATGTAACTTAAACTTACTAAAAACAAAGAAGTTCTTTAAAATTAGTACATTTTACAAAAGTAGTTTTTTTGACAAGAAAAATTAAAATACAAGCTATTAAAACATTTAAGTAATTTTAAAATTTCATATTCTTCATAAACTGACTCATACCAAAAAATACCTAACCAATTAGAATACCATATGAACATGTAATCAAGAAATTGTACTCGCTTTACCCTATGTCTCCTCGTCTCAACCCCCCCCCCCCCCCCACACACACATCCTAACCACTCAGTAAATATATGTACATCTGCCCCAGGTATTCATATGTTAACACAGTGCCATCATTTTGCTTGCGCTTTATCAAGTATTTTTAAGCATAAATTAAAGAAATTTAAATTTTAATAAAGTTTAATTTACCTAAACAAAACTTGTGTTGAGCTAAAGTAAGATCTAAAATTGTTGTCTTCGTTTATTTGGGCCCATGGATCAACCGATGAATCAATTGAAATTTGAGAAAAAACCTAAAAAAAAATTTATCAATAATTGGATACAAACTTACAATGGACTATTTAATAATGACTGATTTAACAAATCTTTTTTATTTAGAACCTATCAACTTTGCAAAATTTTAGAAAATTTAAAAATTGTCCTTTAAATAAAAAATCTACATTGAACAAAAATTTAATAAGTTACTATATAACAAATTAACCTGCATTCCAATAATAGCATACACAAAAAATAATAGAAAAATAAGCATGCCAACATAAGGTAATGCCTAAATATAATTGTTTTGAATAATTAGTATGGTAATAAACAGATTAAAATCTTAGTTTTTATATCATTTTTATGTTAAACTCTAGAGCATTTGCGATATATTTAAATACATACATAAATTTATATATTAATTAAAAAACTTTGGCATATAAAATTTGCCGAATGGTCACACATGAGCAGTGAACGCCTGAGGGAAGAAATGAAGTACATTAGAATAAAGGAGAATTATTTATTAGACAAAGCATATTTTGACAGTTGTCAAGACAAAAATAAAGATTAATAGAGGAATATTTAAAAATAAATAAGACAGCCTATACAACCAAAACAGTACTCAACAATAATAACAATAAAAAAAAAAAAGTAAAAAAGTAAAAACAAATAATAAAAAAAATATATATATAAAAATAAAAAATATAAAAAAAATTGTTTTATAAATACCAATATGAACTAAAATATACAAGAAATACATAACCAGTCAAAAACTTGTAAAACGAAAAACCATTCAACAAATTAAAAATATGCTAACAACAATGAAAGGACTAATAATGGAAAAAAAAACATTAATGCTAATGTGTAAACATAATTAGTGTAGTGATTGAGTAATAAACATCTCCTCAGAGTCGCGTCTATTACTACTGGCGTTTCGATGAGGATCAGCATTTATAACTAGTTTATCCCGTCAGACAAATGTCATCGCCACTTATGCTTTACCCCGCGACTTACACCTATTCCATACTGCAGTAAAAAAAGACTCACTGCAAATAGCCAAAACCCGACCAACCCCAAATTTGTAAAGCACCAATATTTTTTTTGATGATATGATATAAAAAGTATAGATCTACTGAACAAACAAAAATAAAAATAACTAAATAAAACACTTACCGTACCACCAAAAGAAAACATGAAAACAAAATAAATTTAAATTCTAGAAACATAAAAATATTAATCAATTTATTTTAAGAAATAAAACCAAATAGGTATTACTAGCATGAACAAGCCCAAGATAATCAGAAAGCAGTATACCTCATTAAAAAATTTTTTTTTTTATAATAAACAAAACAATACCCTTAAATAAACTCTAACGCTGTCATAGATACCTTATTCGAAATATGATAACCAATCAAAAGTGTAGGAAAATGAGTAGCCTGTGAAACTCAAAATCATAACAATAATAGAATAATATATGATAGCAAAAAAGAACGTTGCACAAAAACCTTAAAAATGTACAGCCTGTTTACATCATATGCATGCTTTTTGTTCTTTCATAGATAAACTATCTTTGTTTGAACTCATCCTTATTTAGATAATATTTTCTTTTAATAGATATGTTGTTGAAATGTAGATACAGATTTGTATGGTATCTCTATGTGTTTATCATGTGTGATTGAATTTTTCATTAAAGGATTCATATGCATATACATATAAGTATAAGAGCGATTATTATAAACTAGCGGGTTTCGACTTATTTTTATGAAGTATGTTTTTCCTTGTTATTTTGTTATGGTCTCAAAGTTACATTTAATTCGGACCGTAGAGAAAACTTTATTTTTCGGAAATTTCGATTTAGATATGGTCTCAAGGTTACTTTTAATTCGGACCGTAGAGAAAACTTTACTTTTCGGAAATTTCGATTTAGATATGGTCTCAAAGTTTCTTTTAGTTCGGACCATAGAGAAAACTTCACTTTTTAACAATTTTTTTTCCCGCTTTCTACATTGTTTTTATATCACGATTTATATCATTGTTATATTACCCACAACTAATTTTTTAACCACTCATTTGGCTTAAAACTATCTGGTTTTATTACAATATTTAGTTAGTCTTATTGCTATATTTATTAATATATTACTTATCTCCTGATTTTCATATTATTACTTTTTACAGAAACTTCATGTTATATTATCTTGCATTCATTACTCAGCATTGTTTTAATTTTCACATGCACAATTTTCATCTTTATTATTATTCAAAGAATATTTTTATATCCTTCATTTAATGTTTACATATATTGTTTTTATTAAAAATAATTTTTTTTTAATGAGGTATACTGCTTTCTGATTATCTTGGGCCTGTTCATGCTAGTAATACCTATTTGGTTTTATTTCTTATAATAAATTGATTAATATTTTTATGTTTCTATTAGAATTTAAATTTATTTTGTTTTCATGTTTTCTTTTGGTGGTACGGTAAGTGTTTTATTTAGTTATTTTTATTTTTGTTTATTCAGTAAATCTATACTTTTTATATTATATCATCAAAAGAAATATTGGTGCTTTACAAATTTGGGGTTGGTTGGGTTTTGGCTATTTGTAGTGAGTCCTTTTTTACTGCAGTATGGAATAGGCGTAAGTCGTGAGGTAAAGCATAAGTGGCGATGACGTTTGTCTGATGGGATAAACTAGTTATAAATGCTGATCCTCATCGAAACGCCAGTAGTAATAGACGCGACTCTGAGGAGATGTTTATTACTCAATCACTACACTAATTATGTTTACACATTAGCATTAATGTTATTTTTTCCATTATTAGTCCTTTCATTGTTGTTAGCATATTTTTAATTTGTTGAATGGTTTTTTGTTTTACAAGTTTTTGACTGGTTATGTATTTCTTGTATATTTTAGTTCATATTGGTATTTATAAAACAATTTTTTTTATTTTTTTATATTTTTTATTTTTATATATATATATATTTTTTTATTATTATTATTATTTTTTTTTTTTATTTTTTTTTTAATTTTTTTTATTGTTATTATTGTTGAGTACTGTTATGGTTGTATAGGCTGTCTTATTTATTTTTAAATATTCCTCTATTAATCTTTATTTTTGTCTTGACAACTGTCAAAATATGCTTTGTCTAATAAATAATTCTCCTTTATTCTAATGTACTTCATTTCTTCCCTCAGGTGTTCACTGCTCGTGTGCGACCATTCGGCAAATTTTATATGCCAAAGTTTTTAAATAATTTGTTAATTCTTTTATTTTGCTCATTACTATCTTTTAATTAGTTTTTTTGTTAAAATGTTTTTGTCTCTAGAGCATTTGTGATATATTTAAAAACATACATAAATTTATATATTAATATATAAATGAGTGGTTTAATATTGTTATTAAAATATAAAATTCTTGATTGTAAAAAAGTGCTCAATAGTTTAGAAATTTAAGTTAAATTTTAAAATAGAACATTATATAATTAAAATGAAGAAAAAACAACAGTTTATGGGACTTGAAGTTTCATGTCTTGTACGCAATTATCAGCTGTAAAATACAAATTCAAAAATTGAAAAAAAAAAAGTTTAAAAAAATTAAAAATATAATGGAACGAGTTCTGACATCTGTATAACGACGTTAGATCTAATGAAAGAAAAAGTAAGAAAAATATTAGTTATGTAATCACCAGTGTCGTATGAGGACAACAAAAACTTGTTTTTGTATCTGCACATAGAGACCGCTTGTTAAGTAAGTTAGTGAAATTATAAAATAAGATTTCAAACTTTTTATTTAAAAAAAGATGAGGCCATACAAACTGGTTTCAATTTTTGAAACCAAGTTGTATGGGCAGCAACGTCTAATAACTTTCCATTTAATAGATGGTACAAAATTACTTTTGTTTAAACTCCCATATTTCTTAGGAAAGCTCTGTGTAATGTTTATAGATTGGTGTTATATGATTTTAAATGATTTACGTAATGGACTTTGTATTCATGTTTATTAGAACACACAGTTTCATGGTATACAATGTTATTAGACAATTGTTGCCTAATGAGCATGCAGAATTATCAACTTGCATTTTTTTCTCTCACCATATTATTATTATTGTATAAAATATTTCTATAGTGAGAACCAACAATAGTTTTGATGTTTGGCATACAAGAATGACTGATTTTAATGAAGTTTTTGCTAAATTCTTTGTGCAGGCTGTTGTTAATGGGGAAATAATGCTCAACAAGAGTTAGAAAATGTTATCATTTTTGTAGTAACATTTTTGCCAAATGGAGGTTGTACTTTTTTTTTTGATTTTAATTTAACTCACCTCCCCAAGGCCATGAAGGCCACTACAGTTGACAAAGCTACTTTAGTTTTGGTTACAAACCTCTCTTAACTCTATAACTTTGAAACAGGAACCTTGACTAACAAGGCTGCTGTCCAGAGAAACAAGTTGAGCGCGATACTAACAGAAACATGGTGGGGATCAAACTTAGAACCTTTCGCTTATGAAGCAAGTGATCTACCAGTACACCACTACCACATTATATATACCGCAAAATGGTATTGTGGTTGCAATTTTTTCTTTAGATTGATTATTATTTAAAAATTTTCTTTCATGGTGTATAAATGCACTATGCTCTTTCCTTACAAATACATTTGCTGCTTAGCAAAAGTACTTGCCTCTATTACAAGATTTTCAGATTAATGAATAGAAGTCATTGATGTGGAAGACTAAAAATTTATAAAAGTTTTATAACAAAAATTTATAACTAATATCCTAATTCATTTTTTTTTTGAAAGGTATCGGTAATGTTGGAAAATTTTATAGTTTTAACTTGATGTATTAAATCTTTTACAAAACCGAACATTTCTTTAAATAATGTAGGGCATTTTAGCGTATTGATACTTTATTTTGGCGTTGAATATGAAAATATTCAACTTTCCATTGCATTTTTATAATATAGACTTCAGTTTTTTCGATTAGTTGTAATAAGAATTCTTTTTCCATTTGTAGAGAAATGTTTTTTATTGAGTATATGTTTATTTTCTACATTTAATAATTTAATATTTAATATTTTAAACCATTTAAAATGGTTCAACACTCATCTATAGTAACATGACACAGAGCTTTAATATGGAAGTTAAAAGAAAGTAATTTTGTACCATCTGTTAAATGTTAAAAGAAAGTAATTTTGTACCATCTGTTAAATGGAAAGTTGTTAGGCGTTTTATAATTTCACTAACTTTAGTAAGTTAGTGAAATTATAAAATGAGATAATAAATTTTTTTCAAAAATTTATTAACTCATTTTATAATTTCACTAACTTACTTAATCTTAGGTGCAGAGGCAAAAATAATTTTCTGTTGTCCTCCTAAAACACTGGTGATTAAACAACCGTTATTTATTTTATTTTTTCTTTTGATAGTCTATTGTTGCTATATTCTTTTGATAGATCTATTGTCGCAAGAGATCTCAGAACTTGTTTCATTGCATTTGTAATTTTTTTAAACTTTTTTGTTTTGATTTTTGAATTTGTAATTGATGGCTGATTGCCTACAAGGCATGACAAGGGCAAAATGAAGAGCGAGGAACGATAAAGAGTGTCTTAAACTTTCAGTTTTTCACTTGATGGTAGCAATAATTGGACTCTCCTATAGGCTGTTGTTAAAAAATAGTATAGAGACGGTATTTTTGTATTAGTTGTGAAGCTTTGATGGTTTACCACTGCCATGCTATAACTTTTATGCATGTGTAAATAAACTCTGCTACAGGTATAGGTAAGCTATTTCGTTTCCATTTAACATTTATAAGTAACTTGGTTTAAGTACTACCTATTAACAAAAAAAAAGAGCAAATAATTGCCTTCCTTCATGGAAATCAAAACAAATATTTTTAAACAGACAATCCGAGGCAAAATGATGGAGGCAAGATGAGGAGCTCATCATCTTGCCCCGTGTTTCGGAATTTATTAAACTAACCATGATTATGATCAAGAATCTGTTGCATTAGCTTAATTAAGTATTATATCCCAATTTAAGAAGGAAACTATCGTGAAAAAGACTCGATTGCAATCAATTAAAAATAATTAAAAAAATTCTATTTGTAAGAGTTCGGTTGGGAACAAATAGAAAAAGAGGATAGAATTCAGGTTTCTTAAATATAAATTTAACTATAAACAATATACAAATAAGTTAAATAATGAAAACCATCATATGAACCATCCAGAAAAACTTATAACAAATGCTAATTCAGATGCACCAAAAAAGTTGATTAGTGTTTTTGAGTTGAAACAATTGCCTAAAGCAATAGAACAGGAAAAGCAAAGAAAGTGAAAAAAAACGAAAAAGCAAAAAAATGAGCTCAAGCATTCTTACAAGTGCACCCTTCAAAGTGTACCCTTTAAAATGCATCCTTCAAAGTGCACCCTTCAAAGTGCACCCTTCAAAGATCTGTTAAAACAAAGAAAAAAAATAGAAAGAAGAACAAGAAAGTTAAAAAAAAAAAACAGAGAAAAGAAGCTTGCAAAGCTAAAAAGGGTGTAAATAAATTCAAGCTAAGTTCCTGTAGGCCTAAGTCTATAAAATTCAGGACAAACATTCTAGCTGCATCAACATCAAAATATAATAAATAAGAGGAATATTGTGACCCTCCAAAAGAAGAATGGATTCAGTGCTGTAAATGCTAACAGTGGTGGCATAAGAAATGTTCCAATTATGATAACAGTATTTTTATTTGTGACTATTGCTAGCAGTACAACTAAACACTTCAACATTTGGTTACATTTAGGGTTTCTGAAAAACAGTGGTTTTAAAAAAAGAGCTGTTTTACTGTTTTATAATTTTCAAAAACAGCTGTTAACAGCTGTTTTACTGTTTTTGAAATTTGCACCCCCCTCCTTTATTACCCCCACCCACCCTCATTGTATTAAGCAGGCAAAAATAAAATTTTTTCCAATAATATATATATCCTAAAATAAACTTTACATTTTATAATAGTTTTTCAAAAATACAAGAGATGATAATAACTTATCTGAAAGTTGTGATCTTATTTTTGTACAAAAGTTGGCACACACGGAGAATACTCTTTCAACATCCGTAGATTTGGGTTTAATTGTTAATAATGCATCAAAAAGCTTTTGTAAGTTTTCTTTACGCTGACCTGTATTCTTAAAAAGAGTAAATTCAGCTTTTAACCACCTGAAATTGTCCTGTCCAGAAGGCATTATTGATAATTCATTTTTCTTCAGCAACACATTCAGTTCCTTTTGTAGAGTTAAAATTTTATCTGATGGATTACTGGAAGTTATTTCAATAATATTAACATCATGAACACCAAAAAGTCGAAATTTTAACACTTTCCTGCTAAAGTTATCGTATCTCTGGATGGGGTTATTGTAGAGTTCTTTAGATGTAATAAATTCATGACATCTGTATTCAGGCGTTCATCAACTCTAACTCTAAAATTATCCATCAATTTTTAGCTAATTTCACTGTTAACTACAGAAAGTTTCTCAAATATAAATTCTAAAATTGTGTCAGCGCTCAGCAGAGTTGCATCTTCTCTACTAAGATTCTCTATAGGGAGTTTAATGGGTTTCATTGCCTCTAGTAAACATATCATGGCATCGAAGTCTACATTATTGGGTAAACTTATATCTGCCTTAAATTCTAATAAAGTTTCTGGAATTGTCTTTATCAATGGCTCAAGCATTTTGGTATTGTGTTCCAACAAGTCTTTACATCAAGATAAAGTTCAATTTCTTTTCCTAGTAGAGCCTTGACTTTGATTAAAAAACTTGATTTTGAACACTTGACAGTTTGATGTATTTTATCAGTTTGTGTGAGTTCTTAAGTAAATTATTGTAGTCAATATAATCTTTGCAATCATCATTTATAAATTCAAAATTGGTGCCTTTGTCAAAAGAATCTTTTTCATTTTTTAGTCATCACAGGGGTTGCTTAAATCTTCAATGTTATGTTTTTCGTATAAAGTGTGTCACATTCTTCAAGATGTATACCATGTTTAAGACAAAATTGACCAATAACATCAAAATTTCAAATATACTTCTTGTTTACAGATGGTCCATCCTGAGTAGATGCAACCAAATCTTTTTCCATCGAAAATTCAAACACATTTAGATGTTGTTTCATTATTTCAACCATATCAAGCACACTGCATGAACCCAAAATTCGAACTAATCCTGTTTTATATGTGATATTGTCAGTTTTATCATGAATATTAACTTCAAAATATCTTTGTACTCCTAAAGTAGTAACCTCATTGACAGTCATGCTAAACTTCATTTTATTGGCTACTTTTAATGTTGTCAATCTTTTTTTTTTTGCTTTTCATCAAAATCTTTGTGCAAAATTTTCATTACATCACTTTTGTTAGCAGAGAGTTCCATCTTGACCTATTGACTGACGAATGTATTTATTTCTGGTTATAACTTAAACTAAAATGCCATCCATAGCCAAACCAGAAACAATATTTTGAAACTTTGTTTGCGCAAAGAAGTCGCCATCAGTTTTTTGTCTCTTCTCCCTTGGTCTCTCATCTGTTAGTATGATTGATTCTGTTGCCTTATCTAAACAAACTTTTTTAAGTGATTTTTTAAGGTAGTTTTTAAGGTAAGAAACTTTTAGTACTAGATTAGTAAAAAAGAACTATTAAAATAGGGAACTCCTTAGTACTTGCCTGTGTGCTTAGTTTTTTTTATAAAAAATGATAACTACTGAACTAAAGTTATTTATTAAAGTTAATTATTATACTATATTTTAAACTATTTATTAAATTGGTTTTGAAAAATAAATCAAATTAACCTTCAAATTGCTTTAAAAAACATGTTGTTATATTGTTAATAAAGAAACTTTTCTTTCAGCAATTGTTAATTTTTAAGATATAAGTAATTAAACTTTCATCTGAAAGTGTTCAAATTAAAAAATTCAAACATTTTCAAATTTGAATGATTCTCTATGCAGTTAAAACCCATAATATTGATATAGAATTTAATTGTTATGCAAATGCATAAAAAAAATTCCAGATTTTAATTTTTGTTGCTTTAATTTCAATTAAAAAACAGTAAAAAAAGTGATTTAAAATACGGCTGTTTGCTGTTTTTTTTTTTTTTTTAAAACAGCTGTTTTACTGTTACTATTAAACAGTGTTCAGAAACCCTATTTACATTGCCTTACGCTTAGTTTGATAGTTTGTAAGATGTAAAAATACAGTTATCGTTTGTTAAAACACATAACATATTCTATAGATAAAATGTGTTTAATTATTTCCTGCGTTGCCAAAATTGCCATTTTGCACCAGTACTGGGGCAAAAGAACAATTTTTATTGTGAATTTTTCAAATATAATAAAATTAATTTTATTATCCTTGAAAATATATATACAAAAACAAAACAAAAATTGAAGATTGCTGTCCCAAACCAAAACTTTAGTTGATGTAGCAGAACTACTTGCATGTTCTAGTTGTTTAGTTAGTCAATGTATATACTGAATATAGTATATATATATCAACCCTCAGAAATTAGGAAAAATGAGGTTGGCATTTTATTGCCGGCATTATTTTGACTTATTTTGCTGATGGCATCAGGTCAGCAAAATAAGTTTGACACAAAGAGGTCACCATAAAACATAGAAATGAGGCGGCAATTTTTTGCTGACCTCAATCACTTCTAGGCATTTAGGTCTGCATTGCCAGATGCCGATCCTAATTCCGAGGGTAAATATATATATATATATGGGCAATTTTGGGAGAGTGGCAGTTGCAAGATTTGACTTAAACTATTAAAAATAAAACAAAAAACGGAAATTACTTAAAATAATATAATTTAGTATGCAAAAGCTACAGCATTAAAGTCTATTCAAAAGCATTAAACTTTATTCAATTGACTTAATGTGATGGTTGTAATGTTTACTTTGTAAACGTTACAACCGTTACATGAAAACTGAAAACAACTTTGCTACTAAAAACAACCGTCACATGAATTCTGAAAACAACTTTGCTAGACTTAATGCAGTGAACCTTATATTAAAAAACTTTTGTCGAGTATATTTAACATATATTGGTATTAATATATGCTGATTTTCATAGTTTTTACTTAAAGTTTTACAAGTATTTGGTCAAAACGAAAAATCAAATATTAAAAAACACAAATAAAAATAACCACAATTAAAAATTGCATTTTTTTTATTACCTGAAATGACTTTAAAAAAGTCCAAAGCAAAATTCTCAATGAGCGACTTCTTCGTAGCAATTTAACTAATCTTAAAGCACGAAACAAACGAAATATGCTAGTAGGAAAGTTTGACTCAGGCTAGAGGTAAAAAAAAAATTGTTTAAACTCTCTTTAATTATAAACGCATAGAGAGATAAACTATTTCTTTTCAATAAATTAATTATAAACTTGTATTGAGATTAAAATACATATAGCAAAAAAAGTTTGTTGAATATTTAACTAAAAATATTCTACACATGAAAACTTGTTTAAAATAAATTCATAAACATTATTTTACTTTGCTTTGCTGAGAATTAAAAAGTGCTGAAATGCCTAATAGCCTACTAAGCTGAAGCAAATGTATATCAGGATGGTTTTCTACTTTAGTTTTTTAGTTTTTTGATGAACAAAAGCATCATGGAGAATTTAAAATGATTTTGTTAAAAAATAGTATTTCATTATTAAAATAAAAACTATAAAAATAAATATGAACTAAAATATACTTTTTAAAATGAGTGTATGGGCTAAGTTTTCATTTAAAGTTTATATAAATTAAAACTAGGCAATTTTAAAAAATAATAAATTACTTTGTACTGGAAAAAGCATATATTCCCTTGCTTGGTCGTCTTTAAATTTTACCATAAAATGTAATTTTTATATTGTTTGAAAAAAAAAAAAAAAATTTAAAAGACCAGAAAAAATTTAAAAATTTTTTAATTGATAGATTGCCTGCCTAAATCAAAACCTTCAGTCATTGTACCAGCAATCCTTGCATGTTCTGCCTATTTGTCAGTTTATGTAGCACTCCTTGCATATTATGCAGCACTCCTTGTATGTACAACCTATTTATCAGTTTATGTAGCAGCACTTTTTGTATGTTCAACCAATTTTCAGTCAATGTAGCAGCACTCCTTACATGTACTACCTAGTTCTCAGTCGATATATGTAAACAGTGAAAAAATAAAAACAGTAATAAAAACATTCAAAATCTTTTTATTAAAAAAAAAAAAAATTAAAAAACATTCCAGTCTAATAAGTTGTGTTTCTGTAGTTTTTAAAAAGATGATCAAATTTAATCAGTTTCCTCAATTAAATTTTGTAGTTTTTACATAAAGTATAATTGAATTTGTTACTTTTAAAGACTTGTTAAAAATTTGTTATTTTTAGTTATTAAGTGTTGTTTTTTAAATTTATATGTCAAACTAAGAGAATATATATATATATATATATATATATATATATATATATATATATATATATATATATATATATATATATATATATATATGTATATATATATATATATATATATGAGCATTTAATAGGAAGTTCACGCCTGGAGTTTGGGTTTGAAACACGGATCTTACGTTTCTGAGGCAAGTGCGCTACCACTGCGCCACGGCTGTTTAATAGCTTAAAAAAAAAGTAATTTATTACTTTTTAAAATTACTAAGTTTTTAAATTAAAAATTTTTACATAAGAAAAACTATCATTTAGCCCCATCCTGGCAATATATTCTCTTTTATATATTTACTAAATCAAGTAAAAATCAAATATAAGACTCTTACATTTGTTTTTTTTTTTAACATGATTTATCAATAACTATTCTTTCAATAATATACTTTATATTTGACATAGACATCATACACAAAAGAGTTAAATTTATATTAAAAAAATGCTTAAATTAAATTTATATTAAAAAAATTTAATTTTTAATGAAACCTTAATTTATTTTGTTTACAAACAAAAATTTGTTTGTAGAGGAACCAAAACAAATATATTTATAAATACTGATATAAATGCATGATGAATAAAAAGATAATAATACACAAACATTCATAGCTATAAATGATATAAAAATAAATTAAATTATTATAAGTAATACGATATAATAAAATACAATATAAACAAATACTGAGGTACGTTTTATATACTGATGTAAGTTTTATGGGAAATAAAAAAACAAAATACAAATAATAAAGAACCAGAAAAGTAATAAACATACAAAAAATTTTTTAATGCAAAAATCTAAAAGTCCACCAAATACAATAAACATATCAAACACATTCCAAAAGTCTTTAAAATAGTTCTAAAAATAAACAAGAAAATACTTTAAGATAAGTATTAAAAGATAATTATTGTATTATTGACAATTGCAATTAAAAAAATTTTTAAAATATATATGATTAGAAATAAATACAACTTACAAAGCCTAAAGCAAAAAACTTGATAGCAAACTCAAAAACAAATACAAAAGAAAATATTGTACTGACAGAAGCCATAAAATCGTTAAAACTCTGTGGTTCACCTTCATACTAATGAAAATATATAAAATCGTTAAAACTCTGTGGTTCACCTTCATACTAATGAAAATATATAAAATCGTTAAAACTCTGTGGTTCACCTTCATACTAATGAAAATATATATTTTATAATACATAAATGTAAATCTAAACTGTTTAAATATAAAAAAAGTAATAAAAACCTCAATGACCATGGTGATAATGTTCATTATGATTAGAGATGTTATCAATGTTTCCCAGGGTTGAGACTCAATTAAAGACCATGCAGTATACTTTAAACTTTTGATGTCTTCAGGCATAAAACGCTCCATTGGTTTTGCAGTCATTGCAAAAATTAAACTGTTTTTCTAAAAATTAAATGAAGAAAAATATTTTAAAAACTCATGCTTAAGTAAATTATTCATTTTTTTCTCCTTAATTGAATCAACACCTACTAGAATTTTATTGTTCTAAAATCTTTACTAGAAATTATAACAAAATTAAAATTAAAATATCTAATTGGTAATTTTGACATACTTGATGTGAGCATGACAAGCAGAAGAAAAAAAAGTTGCAGCACATTTTAGGTAAAACTGAAAGTTTGACCCAATTTTTTAAGTCTCAAAAACTTTAAAAAAAAAAAATCAAACAACTTGTTGGTTTATTTTGCAGAAATTAATTATGCATCTAATGTAATTTGAATAAATTATCTTAATGAACATAATTAACATTAAACTACTTATAATTATTGCTGCTAAAGAGAACATATGCTTATTAAAAGAATTTGTTTCCACAATATAAAGAGAAGTTAACTTATGCGCCTTTTACTTTTGGAGTTTTGGTGATTAAGACTAGAGAAGATGTCTTAGCAAAATATACTTATCTTGGGCAAATCTTAACTGCGTCCAACCTCTTCTTGTAAAAGGCTTCATAGTATAAAAGTTTAGAAATAAACCCAAAAGTGTTAGCTAGGGTAATTACTTAGGGTACAATGCTCTATTTAAAACAGTACCTAAAGATATTTAAGATAAAAAACATAACTGCCAATATTTTGTTTTAATCTATTTTTTACTATTGAGCTCTCTGACTAATTTTTATGTACAGGTTTAATGTTTAAGCAAGGTTACTCAATAACCTTTATTTTTGTTCTTTATCATTTTCTTTTTCCCAAGACTTTCTGATCACAATAAGCTTTTGCTCTATCTGCTTGTTAATATTTTTGTTATTAGTTACTTTAATGATCATTAAACTGAATAAGCAGGATCTAGTACCTAACCTTGCTTGCTTTAAAGTTTAAATTTTTCGTTTTTTTTTAATCTTTTACTCAGATAGTTAACTTTATGAGTTGTTTTCCAGACAACCTTAACACTGCAATCACCAATTTAATATGTTCCCGGTTTATTTTAGCTTGAGCTCAATTTCTTTTTATTCTTCTGAAAGTAGTTCAGATTGTGCTATGATCTAAAACTTTTATCTCATATTTCTTCTACATCAGATTTACCTTATGATTGCACTTCTTACTACTAACTGGCTGGGATTCTTTTTGTGATTTTCTTTGTAATAATCCTTTGGTAGTTAACTAGTCCTGTGATTTTTCAGATGTTTTGTTCTCTCCACTAAAAATTGCACTTCCTATGTATTCCTGGATTCAGACATGTATGGAAGCTTTTACTCCTTCACTTTGGTTTTAATTCAAGCCTCACCCAACTCTGTGGTTTTCTCCATTTTATGAAGTTGCTAATTTTAATTGCTATCATTTTTTCATCTTATACACAAAAAAAACTCTCTTGGAAGGAAACAGCTTTTTTACAATTACAAGAAATTGATGCAAAAAGTCTGACACTAAAGTCTTCTATTCTCAGATTTCTAAATCTCAAATTTTATCTTTTGGAAAAACTTTAACAGTGTCATTGTCAAAAGCCTAACATATTGTCTCTCATACATAAATCTGATCTTATTACCTTTACCAAAGAGAATGCAAAATTATTTACAAAGAACATTTCCTCTAGTTTATCTTTTGACATTAATGACCACACTCTTCCTGTTGTCCCAAAGAAACAGGTTAATCTAATGTAAAACATCCAAACCACCATGGTTTTAAATGCTAAACCTATTTTTAACACTTCCACAGTGAGACTCCATAGTTTTAAATTTTAAAAATTCTAAAAATTGTTATGAAATTTAATAATAACTACCCAATCAGTCTTATTACTGCTATTCTCCAGGTCTTTAACTAACAAACATCTTGTATTGGGTGTGCGCAAAAATAGTTGTTTTTAAAAATTTTTCCCTGCTTAATATATTACATCTATATTTATATACTATACACATGTATATATAGATAAACATGTGTACTATGGTCACATTTTCTTTTAATTAACTCATTTAAATGGTCAAGGTAACTAACTCTGGAGTTAGTTACCTTGACCATTTAAACGAGTTAATTAAAAGAAAACCACAGCCAACTGTACTCTGCATGGCAAGTATTTTTGATTGTTAGCATACTACTATTTCACATCATTTGAATCAGTTTGGTTATTGCTTAAAGATGTTTGGTTTTTTCATAATTTGACTCCATATCAGTAAAATCAGCATTAAGACATTTGTAATATTTTGCTATCTAAAAATTGCACTATGAGTTGGCTTGACAATGTAGTTACATGTGATGAGAAGGCTCCTCATGGGTCCTCTGTATTAATCACATTAATGTACAAATGGCTAAACACTATTAAAATCTTGAAGTCCCACAACTGATACTCAATACCAATGTTGATACTCTTTTGTTTTATTGGTAAACTGTCAACTGCAACCCTCAGAATTAAAAAAAAAGAGTTAGAGGTCAGCAAAAAACAAGGTTGGCAATTTTTAGCCAACCTCAAACAATTTTAGGTCGGCAGTTAGGTTGGCATAGCCAACCCTAATTCCAAAGGTTGCAACTGTAATAACAGAATGTTTCTATTGTGCATTAGATAAAAGCAAAGAGGTTTGTGGGATATTGCTCTTAACATATCTAAGACTTTATTAGAGCCTGACATTCTGGTCTTCTATAAAATTTGCAACTTCTGTTGTACAAGGTTCAACTCTTAGTTTTGAGTTGTTTCATTTATACTAATAATTTTCCTGTTAAATTGGGGTTTTCATTATAGAATTGCTTTCTTCTAATTTCCCTATTTCTGACTTCTGTTTTTATTCTCTGTAAATATTTCATTTGCCTTTGTACAGTAACTGTTCAAAAAAATTTTATTTATCAATTTTTTTTTGCAAGCATAAATGATTTGGAATTATACC